CACACACACACACACACACACACACACACACACACACACACACACACACACACACACACACATACAACCTCACACACACATATATTACAATCATTTAGCTGACATGTTTTTTTTTTGCCTAAAATTTATCTTAATCATCAAATATTTGAAATTTACAACAGAAGAAAAAAACAGATGATGTGAATTTATTTTAAAAATTTTAATTTTTTATTTTATATTTTAATATATATTTTTATATTTTAATTTTTATATATATTATTTTACTGTTTTACAAATTAAATTTTATCACAAATTAGACTTTCTGATAAGTTTCATTTAAATAAAAATGTCATATCATTTTTTCGTGAATTTTTATTAGCATTATTTCTATTGGTGGAAATTAGAATTTACATTTAATTAAAATGAAAGGCAGCCTTAATTGTAATATATCAAAAAAGGTTAATCGAAAAATACCTCGCAAATATTTTAATTCCATTATTTTAGCTTAATTAAAAAGATTTTATGATAAGTGAAATTTATGATAAATTAACTTAATATGTTAGCTTAAATATAAGTAAAAATCGAAAGCTTTTTGATAATTTAGCTCAATTAAAATGTTAATATTTTGTATTTGCTGATATCTTTTTGATAAGTTAGCTTAATTAAAATGTCAATATTCTGTATTTGTTGATATTTTTTCAAAAAATTATCAACAACTGTTTAAGCAATAGGAACTCGAATTGTATGATATCATTCTCGAAGTGATTGCATAATTTTATATCATAAAATAATTTCAGGTCAACCATGTTATTATAACGGATAAACGAAATGAGCATTTGATTAATTATCAATTGATTCCTATTTGATGCATATTTGTGCATTTTGGTAACTTGCATTTTCGAAATTGAAAAGCAAGAATATAATGAATGCTTAAGTGATTAGCGCTCATAATGATATCATTAAATGAGAAAGTGATTACGAACAATTATTATTTGGCAATTTTGAAACTAATTATTGCCTTTTGGTCAAATTACATTTTATCAACAATAATTATTCGGCAACAAAAAATAACTACAAATTTTCAACAATTCGATAATACAGGTAAATTTCCCAATTATCATTTGCTGCCATATATTATCACTGTAAAAGTTGATAATTTTTTTTTGAGTAAAATGATAAAATGATCGAAAGAATTGAATTGAAGTATTTTATTAAAAAATGATAAAAAAATTTGATAGTTATAAAAATTTCGATGCCACTTTTTTCATTTATTTTTTTTTTTTAGAAATTTCCTTCATAATTTCAAAATTTCGACATTTTCCATCAAGAAATTATCCATTATAATTAATCGTAAATAAATAATATCAATTGAAAAGTAAAAAATTTTGGTGCAAAAGGCAAAAATTTTTTTAAAGTATAAATTTTGGAAAACAAAATTGTTTATATATTTCAATTATTCATATAAATTTTTTTGTCAATTTGTATATAATTTTTATTTATGTATTTTTTTAGACACTTATGTAAAATTATTTATATATATGTATTTTTTTCAATATTATTTATTATCTGTATATTTTTTATTTATATATTTCATTTGTATATTTCGAAATTATTCACCTTTCAATTGGTATTAATATATTTCATTTGTATTCGAAATTATTTATATATATATATATTTGTTTTTTACTTATATATTTAGCAAAAAGTTAATGCATTAAATTATTACATTAATTTTTTCTCAGGTGAGTTATATGAATTATTACAGGTAAATTATCTGAATTATTGCAGGTGAATTATCTGAATTATTACAGGTGAATTGCATTTTTTTCGGGTGAATTATATGAATTATTACAGGTGAATTATATGAGTTATTACAGGTGAATTGCATTTTTTTTTTCAGGTGAATTGCATGAATTAGTTGTTACGCTTAACAAATTACGACATATAATTACGTAAGAAATTGTTAGCATTCAATGCATCGTTGTTGTACCGGAGCATTAGAAGCTAGCCGGAAGCTTTATCAATTTGCATTGAGAAAGTTTGGAAAAAACGATGAGGAAAATTTCGATTCAGATGAGCGTACCGCATTCAGTCAATCAGCTGATCGTACACCGGAATGCGGTGATGATGATTCATCATCCGGTGCACGACTTTCGCGTCGATCATCCCTTCTTGTAAGAAATATTGTCACATTTTTTTCTCTTTTGTTAAATTTTTTTCTTTAAAAAAAATGACTCGAAATCTTAAAATTTGCAGTTGTTAATTTGTTAAACATTAACTTATCAATTAGATATGAAATTGAATAATTATTTACTGAATTTTTTTTCGGAAATTAATGAATAAATTTTTAATATATTGTTAGGTTGACTTGATTTCACTTTTTCAACGATCTTCTTCAAATACTGTCAAACCAATTCGTCTTCCTGGACATTTCAGTGAAACACAGTTTAGTTTTGTTTTTTTTTTTTTTTTTTATTTCGTTTAATTTTTCTTTGTTCAATTCTATTATTTTATTCAAATTTTTAAATAATTAAATGATAAATAACTTCTGGTTGTAATGAAAATTCTATTGATAGAAGATAGCTTTATTGATTAGTGGTAAATTAAAAAATTTTTGGAATTAATTCAAGTACAAATTGTTTGGTTAATATGAAATACAAATATTAAATATTGATAATTTTATTTTTGAGCTTAAAAATAAATGAACGAAAAATGAGGGATCATTTAAAAAAGAAAAAAAATCATTTCAAAATTTAATACTTATCATGAAAATAACACCATAAATGTTAAAATATAAATAATATGCTGAAAAAAAAATAAAAGAAAAAATCTCAATTAATTAATTGCAATTAGTAAATTAAGAATGTTTCGAGAATTTTCTGGTATATATCATTCAGGAATTCTTCAGTGATTACATAATATTTTGTATGTTTGTTATCCAAAATATCTAACAAATCATTTTACACCATTTTTTTATTGCTTAAATAATTAGCTACCTAATGCCAAGATTATTGAGCCATACGTTAAGATGATAGTGTATGTATCATATAGGATCTTAATGATAAGATTATTGAGCCATACGTTAAGATGATAGTATATGTATTATTTAACATATAGGATCTTAATGATAAGATTATTGCGCCATACACTAAGATGATAGTGTATGTATTGTTTAACATATAGGATCTTAATGATAAGATTATTGCGCCATACACTAAGATGATAGTGTATGTAT